AAAAAGACATTCTGAAGGGTGCTGAGCTGTCTTGGGAGGAATTAGAAAGAGATGTCTTCTTCCAGGTGTATGTACCCTGCATGCCAGTGGTACAGCTTGGTGAAAACAGAACAGGTGGATCTCAGCTGTCACTCTTTAACTGGGCACCCTAAACAACCATAGACAGAGGCCCTGGTCTCTGGACTAGTCCCTACATGAGGGGGACACTGAGAGCCAATGGGATTACCTCTAAATCTTTCACTGCTGTCTCACCAGCCTAGGGTGGAGGAGGGGTGGATAGGCGGTCCCCTGGCACTTTCCCCAGAGAGGTAAGGGGCTACGGGAAGGTGAGTGGTGGGATGACTGAGAAGCCAGACAAGAAAGATGGAAAAATCAATGAAATGAGTTTCTAACAGTGAGGTAAAGGACCGCCGTGTCGACAGCCTGTCGCCTGCTGCAAAATATGAGCTGCCCAAGTCCATGGCAGCAGCTGACAGTGCATCCAGCCGCCACTGTCCTCCGTTCAGGCCCCCGCCTACCAGCCCCTTCTCCAGCTGCCCTGGCCTTTCTTATTATAGCCAGACTCTCCCCTAGGGCTCCTAGCTCACTCACTTTGTTCCCGCTCTTCCTAGAGTCCTCAACCCATTCAGAGCCTGACTGTCACTAGAGGAACAGGACAGGTTATAATCCCTGACTGGGTGCTTCTCTCTCCTCTATGGCTTCTGTGTATTTACACCCCTCTCTCTGGAGAGTTCTCTCAGAGTTGTGGTGCGTTCTGCATCTCTCAGCTCCCCCTCTTCTCCAAGATACCTCTGGACCCATTCAACAATGGGCAGTCAGCGTCAAGGCCATCCCTCACAGGGTTCCTTACATCCACGTCTGCTTCCTTCTGCCTTTTGGCCCACTTGGCCAATGCTGGCTTCCTTCTAATTGCCTGGGTTAGGACAGGGTGTTCAGGATGGGCCTGACATTGATTTATTTGTGACCAGTGTATAAATATGGGTATGACCGATTCAGCTGTGGTTTCATGATTGGGAACAGGGTGAGGTAGGGACTGTTACTCCCAATTCAAATCTGCTGTCTTGGGAAATAACTCTCAACCTTTTCTGGAAACCGCCTCCTTTCTTTACTCTCCTCCGCATCTTCCTCTTGGGTTCCTAAGACTGTTCATTCATGTTTTCCTCCCATTATTTCTATAAAGTCTCCCCAGATAAGCCCCTAGCATCCACCCTGGCTGCCTTCAAGTGTGCCCCTAACCCAGTCTATCCTCTCAGATCTCGCTGTTGCTCCGTTAACTCTCCTCCAGCTTTTTCCTCATTTCTGATTTCTCATTGCCCATTTATGCAACTTAGGCCTGAGGGATGGGGTGAAAGGCGAGCAACTCTTTCCCTTAGCCTCTCCCTCACTCAATATTTGATCAACAGACATTTACTAAGCGTTTTCTGTGTAACAGACTGTGCTAGGTGCTGAAAAACAGTAAGAAACTAGACAAATGTGGCCCCTGCTCCAATAGCCATCAGGACTAACCCGGGGCCTCTCACTGGACAGCTTCATCTATCCAATTCAGAGTCCCTTTTTTTCCACTTTTGCTACAGTCAAATTCTACAGTGCCCTGCCATTTCAGAACCCTTCCCTTTTCTCTATCCCTGCGTCAGTTTACACTCTCACACAGCTCTGATCCCTGCTGTTCTGCATTTCCAGCTTCAGTCTCCATTCCTAAAGCCAAAGAGTTTCATTTTACATGTTTGATGTCTCCTCCCTGCTCCAAAGCCCTTCTCCTTTCATTTTCTGTAGCTGCCATTTCCAGTTCTCTTCCTTCTTTGCCTGCCAGTTAAGTCCTACCATCCTGGCTTACCATCCCATTCTCCATGCCCCATCTATCTCCCCAAGTCCCTTCCTCTTGCTCCTGCAGGCCCTAGCGAACCTCATGCACTCAAACGACCTCATTCTGAGCTAGGAACAGCTTCAGGGAGGCAAGGTCGAGACCCAGGAATCCTACAGAGTTGACTCAGGCCCGGGCCCTGGAAGTGTACAACTCTCCAGCCAGGCAGAAAGTTGTTCCTCTGTGGGTCTCAAGGTAACACCAGCTGCTCTGACATCATGGAGGGAGGGACCCTGTCAGGTTGCCAAGGCAACTCCAGCAATTTATGACATCAGAGGCTTGAGGTCTTTGGTTCTCAGGGGGCTAGAGAGATTCAAGTTCATCAACTAAAGTAAATTGGAATTCTACTTTTTCATCTCTCTGCTTGTGTTCCCCTAGTTTGGGAATGAAATGCAAAGGCCTTTGGTGGGGTAATGAGTGATTTGGCCAAAGGAATGAATGCTTGTAAGGCTCTCCCTTTCTCTTCACTAGATAGCTGTGTGTGCTGTCGCCCTCTCCTTTGGCATCTCTCTTTTGGGGCTTCACCCAGTGGTATTTCTGCTCTGCCTTTTTTCCAAATCACCCCTCCTGCAGTGCTCTTTGCATCAGTCATGCTGTGTCCTTCTCACACCAGTGGCATTTGTTTCCTTTGATACCTCACCATCTCCTCTTCCCCCCTACCAAGCTCTGTGAAGCTCTGATCTGCTCCAGCACTCCTCGTCTGCCTTCCATTTACCTTCTTTGTACCACACTCTTTTCCACCTCGTCTGCCTTCCATTTACCTTCTTTGTACCACACTCTTTTCCACCTCATCATATTCTTCAGTTTCTCCCTTCACCCACTTTACCATTGTATTAATTTCGTGTTGCTTTTTCTGTTGACGTCCTCCTTAATATTTTTATCATTTCTCTCCCTCTTTCTTTCTATATCACTATCAGATCGTTTTTCATTAATCACCCCTTGGTTCCTCCCTTGCCCCTCATTCCACATGAATTTTCTTTCCTTCCTTTGCACATTCCTCATGGCATGCATTTTTTTCCACCCCACGCATTTATTGCATCGAGCCTCTCCTTCCTTTCTATAACTCTGTTCACCGCTGAAATCTTCCATCTTCTCTCCATATCTACCTCCTCTTTTTACCCTTCCAAGCTCCTGAGGTCTGGAAAAACAATGATGGGATTAAAACAAGGTAAACTCGCCTGATTCTATCCACCTTTCTCATTCTTTAGGCTGAATGAACCTGGCCCCTTGCATAAAGTCGCTTCTGTCATACTAATGAAAACTGCCTTGGAAATAAATCATGCTGAATCCAAATATGATACTAGCAGGAGCACAGGATGAAGAGAAACTGGAAAGTGAAGACTAAGCCACTAGAATGAACTGAAGAATGAGGGGCAAGCAAGCAGGGTGGAGCTCAGAGTCCTAGAGAACGTCCCCTTCCAAAATCAAGTTGACAGTTCGTGGGCATAATGGCCCTGACTGATGAAGGGGTTATATGCCTCAGGAAACCCATTAAATTGATTTCTTGGCCTATTGATGTACCTTCACAAACCATACTGCCAACCTCTCTCAGCCTTTTGCTCTCTGGTACCTTCTGCGGCTGGGGTTAAAATGCTGGGTGAGAGGATAAGGGATAAAAGGAACTTAGAATAACCAAGGCGGAAGGGTAGGAAGGTGGCAGATTATGGGAACAAAGGTGGAAAATAGGCAAGGGTGATGGGGATGGAAAGAAAGGGATGAAATAAAATGGGGAAACAGAAAAAATACACAATGGTAAAGTGAGGGTAGGGAGCAAAATAGTCATCAAGGAAGAGGTTTATGGTGGGAAGCTCCTGGAGAGGCAGATGACTCATAGGAGACTAGAGGTGAGGTCCTCTGGGGAGGAGGGAGACAGGCATATGGTCAAGGGGACAGTCAACAATGCTAGGAAGTTCCAAAGCTTCCTGGATGATGGTAGAAGTGGAGGCTGTCCTGGCCATGCTGCAAGGGCACCGGAGTCCTTAGCGGGGAGCATGTCTGCTCCATCCTTGGACTCTTCCAGGCCCCTGACCAGTGACTACCACTATCATGACTGATAAGCAAACTCCCAAGCAGCCTGAGAAGGCCAGAGAAATCCATAAGGACCCTGAAGGAGAGGGCATGAAGTCCTAGACAGGCAGAACAGTCAGGCAGCCAAGGCATGACACATAGTGACAGGGACACACAGGGAGAGGATCACTTGGATAGGAAGAATCACTTGGATGGGAAGAATCACATGTGGAGACAGTGACATACAGACCCAGAGATGGATGGGTGGGGAGAATGCATGAGGTGAAGAATGGCAAAATCAAGAGGCAGGGACACATGGACAGAGATCAGCAGGGGTACAGACACAGCGAGACCAGAGTGGACAAGTGCTCAAAAATTATAGGGCCACTCAAGAGAGAGGGGGCAAACAGAATGGATGGAGACTTGGGGGACCAGGAAAGACACGCTTCACCTTGAGTGGAGCAGTGGCCTCCCCTCACCTTGCACTTTTCCAAAAAAATAAACAAAAAACTCAACTTCAGGCAAAAACGGAGATCGAAGATTAAGGGTATCCACGTCCCCTCTCACCCAACCCTCACCGCCAGCGCGCTAGCCCATCCATCAGCCCGCCTGCCTGCCGCGGTTTCTCCCCTACCCCGCGGTAGGCGGGGGGGCCGCCGAGACCCAGGCCCCTCCGGGCTGACAGCTCCGAACCTTCGCACTCACCCGGCCTCCCCTTCCCTCTGGGACCCCCGCTACCCGCACAGCTCGGCGCGGTCCGTCTAGGCTTTCGTTACCCTCCGTTTGCCCGGCTGGCTCCCGGTCCAGCTTTGATGCCTTTCCCTTCCTTACCCGTCTCTCCTTCACCCCTGCATCTCTCTCCCCCCACATCCCCGCTCGCACGCCCTCTCCCTCCCACACTCCTGCCCCTCCTTCTCCTCAGGTTCTCAGTCTGTCTGTCTGTCCGTCCGTGTCCCCTCCCCCAGCCCTTTCCCGTCCCTCTCCGTGCCCTCCAGCAGCAGTCTCCGAGCGCCTCCTCTCCCCTCCGTCTCAAGCTTCCAAAGAGCAAGGAAGGCAAGAAGAGAGAGAGAGGGAGAGGAGAAAAAAAAAAAAAAAAACCAACCCCAGCAGCATCGGAAATCGATGCACTTACACCTCAGCTGGAAGCAGGGACGGGAGTCGAACCGCGGCCGCCGAGCAGCGCGAGGCGGGGAGGGGAGGGGGCGGCTCTTGGAAAGGACTTCTCCGATGTGTTGATTCCTTTTTTTCCCCCTCCTCCTCCCTCCCTCCAGCGCTCACTCCGGGGCGTCGGGGACGGAGATGGAAAAAATAAATAAATAAATTCACGGCGGTGAGGGAAGTGAAGGAAAATAATCAATGCTATTTGGCTGCGGCTGAAGTGTTTTCCCGGCTTCGTGAGGGGGTTTCCATTGATTCACCCAGGGCACTCGCTCTCTCCCTGCCTCCTCCTCGCCCTCCTCCTCCTCCTCCTTGCCCTCCTCCTCCTCCTCCTCCTCGCCCTCACTCCTCCGCCTCATTCACTGGCTGGAGCCGAGGCGTCCCACACAATGGAATAATCAATACCCAGGCGCCCGGGGCGGCCCCACTGAGCAGGTGCAGCGGCCCGCCCGCCGCGGCGAATGCCGGGAGTTGTAGTCCGTCCACCCACGTTCCTGCTCGCCTGCCCGCCCCAGCGGAATCCTCCCGCCTCGCTGGTCTATGGGCGCGACCCCAGGCCCCAGGGCAAGGCCCGCCAGTGTGTCGGACCACCTGCACGGCTCTGGCGCCAGGTTCAAGCCAGTGCCTGTAAAGAGGACAGGAGGCTTTAAACTTTTGTCTTCTCTTTTTTCAGCCTGCAGAAAGCGTACGTGTGTTTTGTTGTTTTGTTTTAAATTAGCTCTAGAGCAAGCCCTGGCTTCTACGAGCTTCCCAGAACCACCTGAGGCCTTTCTTTCCCCACTCCCTTCTTATTAATTCACCCTCCCTTCCAACTGGGCACTGGAAACTTCTATTCCATAGCAATTACCTTGAAGTCTGAGAGCTCTCTTCTCCATGGGATTACGGAGTCCCGAGAGTTGGGTGGGGGGAGGAGAGATTCTGGCTCCTTGGGCTCATCTTCAGTATACCAACTCATAAGCTCTGCTACATTCTAATAACAATAATTGCCAAGATTTATGGAATGCACAGGAACAGTTCCAAGCACTTTTACATGTATTAACTTATTTAATCCTCACAACTAGTCCCATTTTACTAGTCCCATTGAGGAAACCAGGGCCCAAGTCACATGGCCCTGTGAATTAACTTGCCCCAAGTCACATGACCAATAAGTGAAAAAGTCAGGGTTCAAACCTTGATGGTCCTGCTCCAGAGCCCACATTTGCTGTTATAGCCTACTTCTCTTAAAAAAAGAAAACAGAAAAAACCCTGGAGTTCACAGAAAAAAAGGAAGGAGAAACTAACATTCTGAACTTATTATGTGACAGTTTGTCATTGAGTCCTCACACAGAACTGTGAGGCAGTCCCTATTTTGCCAGTGAAAAAACAGGTTTAGGGAGAAGGAGTAGTTTGTCCAAAAATAAACACTTAGAAAATGAAGGTGGGAGTCATCTTCTGTCTGGCTCTACAGTCTGTCTGGTCTTTCCTCTCTGTTCAGCTGCTGCCTCTGCCCCACTGGGATTGGATTTTGTAATTCAGGGAAGAGATTATGTCTTCTTCCTCTGGACAACAAAACTGAAAAGAAAATGCTAGATGAAAAGCAGGCCAGTGAAAGGAGTTATGGCTGGGGTCCCTTTCCTTCCTGCCTATTGGTGCTTGTCATGGCATGGAGCGGAGGGATGCATCCAAGAAATGCCAAGTTCAAGATGCCATGTCTGTAAACTAGTGTCCTCCCCATAGTACTTACTATGGGTCATGTGTTTTCAGACACATACTGGGGGGAAGACAGGTGTTGAGAACCTGGCACTTCTCACCAACCATAGAAAGGAGCACAGGAGTTGGTAAGAGCCACTATTCTTCAGTAAGGTACCACACCCAGAGGGTCAGACATACAGTTGACCTCCTCCAAGTAACTGTTGTCCTCAGAGGGAGTAAGGCGAAGAAGAAGACTTCTCTATTTTGTCTCCTAAAGCAGTCAAAGAGCCACCCCCATGTCTTCCTGTTTTACTTTATTTTATTTATTTACTTTTTAAAAGATTTTATTGGGGAATTGGGGAAGGGGAACGGGAACAGCCAAGTTGTCCTTCAATCTTAGTTGTGGAGGGCGCAGCTAGCTTAGCTCCAAGTCCAGTCGCCATCCAGCCACCTGTCGGCAGCTCGCGGCAGCTCAGCTCAAGGTGCTGTGTTCAATCTTAGATGTGGGTGGGCGTAGCCCACCATCCCATGTGGGAGTTGAACTAGCAGCCTTGTTAGGAGCACGTGTTCTCACCAGCTGAGCCATCCTGCCACCTGTTGGCAGCTCAGCTTGGGAGCAGCTCACTGGCTCATGTTGGAATCGAACCGGCGACCCTGTTGCTCAGAGCTCACGCTCTTAACCAACTGAGCTACTCGGCCGACCCCTGTTCCTATATTTTAAATGACCAGGAGTATTTCTCCTATTCTTGACAAAGCTTGCTCAGGAGCCACTGGAAACTCAGTGACAAATTCCTCAGTTTGGCACTCAAGGCCTTGTCCAACCTGGTCCTCAACTGTATTTCTAGCATCATCATCTCCTCCTTCCACACTGCCCAGCAGTTCTTCAGCTTCTGGATCTTTGGTTATGCTGTTCCTATCTCCATTTGAGTCTCCAACTGTTGAAATCCCATCTTGTCTTTAGTTCCCATCCAAAATATTACTTCCTCCTCCAACAAAAGTTTCCCACCCACCCTTACCCTTAACAGTCATGCCAGGATGTATTAAATCCCCTCTAATACTCTATAGCAGGGTTTGGCAAACTGCAGCTCATGAGCCACATCCAGCTCTTAGGGTAGTTCCGTCTCAAAAGTTTGCCGACCCCTGGAAGAGCCAATCCTGTCCCTCAAAACAATTTAAAAATTATTCGAGAGCCATAAATATATTTTTACATAATCACTATTATGTGAATAATACCCTTTAAAAACTTTATAAATGAAACTGTACTATGATAGTTTTATTTTCAATTTTACTTAAGAGCCTGAGGCTCACGAGCCGTAGTTTGCTGATCCCTGGCGGCTCTCCCGTCTCAAAGTTTGCTGACCCCTTCTCTAGAGTAGCTAAACTTGTCTTAGTTATGCTTCTTTTAGCCCGTTTCCAGTGGCCTGCATTTAGTAGGCTGCCATAATAAATAGTTAATAAAATATCTGCTGGACAGTATCTGAATGACTGGCTTATATCCAGGCCCATGTACTTATAGAGTGAGGGATTTGGAGAGAGGGCTGGAACCTCAGATCCTTCCACCTACCGCCCCAGCTCAACTTTAGATAGTCTCCCTGGCACTAATGGCAGCTTTCCTGACACCGCAGCGACGTCGGGCGCGGGTTTGGGGGTGGATAGAAGAAAGCAAAATCTCCCTTTGGAACTACATCTCCCATCATGCACCCGGGTCCCAGGGTGCCAGGCTCAGCCTGAGGCCTGAGACCTAGGCCGACCGGGAGCCGGGAAAGGTCGGGGATGAGCAGAGCATAGGGCGATGACCTCGGTCACGGCCCGTAAAACCCAGCAGGCCTTTCGGGCCCCGGCCTGCCCATGGCACCGCCACATGGGGCGTATATGGCAGCTCGCGCTGGGACCCGCGGGGTGCGCAGGGAGCGGGGCCGAGGTACCGGGCTAGGGACCATTCCCGGCATTCCTTGCAGGCGTGGCGTGGGCTCCCTTCCCCCATCTCCAGGTCCCGCGAGAGGGAGACCCTCGGGCTTTGAGGTGAGACTCGAGGTTCCGCCGGCCCCTGTTGTGGCCGGGAAGGGCTGGGTTGGGTCTCCCGGGCAGTAAGGTGTGGAAGGGAATGTTGAAAGGACACTCGTCGCTTGGCCTGCTTTAGAAGGAGCCCTTTGGATTGAGGACATCATCAGCAGTGGAAGAAATCTAACTGGAGACCTGTCACTGATGCAGATTCCTTGAAACATCAGAAACAGACGGGGCCATCCATCACAGAGGCAGGGAGAAAGGGCTGTAGCAGCAACAGAGAGCTCCGCACAGTGTGTGTGCCTAAGTTCTGGGGGGTTGGTTTTTGCTCAGCTGTCAACCTGCAAAGCTGAGCATCCTTGGGAGCTCATCAAATGTTTGTTGATTGATTGCAGGTAGTATGGCCCAGGGCTTGATTGAGGTAGAGCGAAAGTTCATTCCCCAGCCTGGCATAGAGGAGCGGCTGCAAGAGTTGGGGGGCATCCTGGAGCACCGGCTCACCTTCCAAGACAGCTACTATGACACCCCTGAGCTGAGCCTCATGCGGGCTGATCACTGGCTGCGACTGCGACAGAGTAGTGGATGGGAGCTCAAATGTCCTGGAGCAGCAGGTGTCTCAGGACCCCACACTGAGTACTTGGAACTCACAGCCGAGCCGGCAATTGTGGCCCAGCTCTGTGAGGTGCTGGGGGCTGGGGGCCTGGGGGCTGGAGGCGTGGTAGATGTGTTGGGTCCACTGAGGCTGCAGGAAGTAGCTAGTTTTGTGACTAAGCGTAGTGCCTGGAAACTGGTTCTATCCAGAGCTAATGAAGAGGAGCCACTGCTCAGAGTGGACCTGGATACAGCTGACTTTGGCTACGCTGTGGGTGAGGTAGAGGCCATGGTGCACGAAGAGGCTGAAGTCCCAGCTGCCCTAGAGAAGATCAACAAGCTCAGCAGCATGCTTGGTGAGGGAGACAAGCCCTTCTGTGCTTCCCCCCTTCCTCTTCTGGATGTACCCGCTGGGCCATTTAGTAGGAAGGATCTCGGGGTTATTTTTGTAATGAGAATTGTTTTAGCAATTTTCTAGAGGACCCAGTTTGCTTAGGGCTCTACCAAATCCTGTTTCCTCTTTTGTAATAGCTGTCTAACCTGGATTTAATCCTTCCAGTTTTCCTAATCTGTCATTGCCTCAGTTCTCATACATCTAGACACTCCTCCAAGTTCCTTCAGTTCCATATGTCAATTCTTTGCTTCAGTCCTTCAAGTCATCCTTCCCCCAACTTCTATCTCCTCATTTTTACAACTACCTAGATCCTCATTTAATTTGTCCTGTTAGCTTTGAGTGAAAGGCAAGAATGTCTTATTTATGGCATAGACAGTGGGGGAAGCATTGGCAGATTTTTTTTTTCCTGTTCCCAGGCTTAGCTCCCTTGTAGACAGTTCATCCACACAAGTGTGGGGTTGTGCATCCTATGGGACTTTATAACCCTGGAATGCTGTTCTCGCCTCCTCAGCAAACATACGCTGAGTTCCCTGCTATGTGCCCAGCATGCTGCCAGGCACTAACAATAAGACACTGGCTTATCGTGGTTCCATACCACAGAGGCTAGAGTTCTCTGTGAATCCCACCCCATGGCTGTAGCTGCTTTTCTCTTCTTTCTACATCCCTCGGTTTCTGTGTGTGCATCCCTGCATGTGCTTCATTACCAAACTAATGAGCTTTGGCCTGCCTAGATGGGCTTTAATCTTGATTGGGGGACAGGAGTAATAACTGAAATGAGTCAATATTTAGGCACCCTCTGTCTTCATGGCACCTGAGTGCCTCTTCACCATTTCTCCTTGGAGGAAAGGCTCGTGCTTGGCTTCCCAGCCCCACTGCTGCATGAAGTGACCCTTTTAGGCCACACTTCCACAGGCCAATCAGGAAGCCGGCTGGTGGGTTACACAAGCTCATTGAATGTTGTTCAGAATCCCAGTGCTGCCTTGGAAACAACTTTGGGGTCCAGCTGCGTGGGCAGGGAGTAGAGTCAAAGCATTTACAGCTCTGTCTGGTTCTCTCCTCTTTCTTCTTTTGCTTATAGGTGTGCCGGCACAGGAGAAGGCACCTGCCAAGCTGATTGTGTATCTACAGCGCTTTCGGCCTCAGTACTATCAGCGCCTGCTAGACGTGCACAGCTCCAGAGAGAAGCCACAGGGGACTAAAGATGCTGACAGTAGCCTGGGCTAGGGTACTTCCTCGATGACGGGGAAAAAGAGCTCTGGCACTATAGGAGTTCATTCCTTTGCTCACTGTGCTTCTTCCCCTGGCTTCCCTTCCCATAGTGACTCCTCTCTCACCAGCTCTGCCTGTTCCTTCACCCTACCCTCAGCTATCCTTGTCGAGCCCTCCCAGGCTGCCTCCTCTCCCTCATCAGTCAGATGCAATCTGTGGGCCGCCCCTCTCCCCTGGCCGCTAAGCAGTCTCCATTGATTTCCGCTCGTGTTTATAGGATTTCCACTTAGCCGTGATCAGTAGTTAAGCACAGGAAAATCCCTTGCCACCCCCCCTCCCTTGGTCGATGCCATTGATTCTGCCAGCAGCTCCTAAACTGCCTTACAGCTGAGTTAGAGATGAGAGAAGGCAGCAGGGATTTCCCTGCCTTGGGGTGTGGGGAATAGTGGCAGGTTGGGGAAATGGGTGGGAGTCCCTGTGGGAAATCTAGAAATTCTGGTTTGATTTTGCCAATGTGCCCTGTGCTGGACCAGAGGGTAGAGTGTCTCCTGTGGAAATTGGGGGGCAAATCTGCTCCCCAGCCTGGAGAAGGGTAGAAAGAAAACCCTCCTTTGTTGAAACAAGTTCCTAAATCTCAGGGGGAAGATACATGCTTCCTGTTAAGACTTTTCCCTTGCTGTTATTCATATAGGCTTTCTACCTCAAATATACACAAATATGGCTTTCCCCCCTCAGGCTTTATTGGGCTTTCATTTGTTGGGGAGGGGAGCAGGCCTGGGGTTTTTGTAGTGGCAACCACAGGACCAGAGCGCCACCTGCTGGTAGTCCTCAGACGTAGGCTCCAAGTAGCTGGGGCCCCAGGAGTTTGGGACACAGTAGGATTTCAGGCTGTTAGTGGAGGCTGAGCTACTGCCATGTCTCCTCCGGCAAGTTGTTCACCTCAAAGATCTCCTGCACCGAGTGGCCAAAGTGATTGTAGGTGAGGCGCAGCTTTAGCCGCAAGGGGGCCTAGGAATAGGAGAGTGGAGACCAGGGTTAGCACCGATGACTTCTCCCTTCCCTGGGTGTTATCTACAGGGGGCTCCTGGAGCTCACCTTATTAGGATTGAGGATTCTGAGGAGCTGGGTCACTGGAGGGCCACCCTGAGCTGGAACTGTGTCCCCACTGGGGGCCTGTAGCTGCAGCTGGAAACTCTGAAGATACGCAGTTGGGCAGAACACAGTTTGTAAGGCAATTAGCTGGGTTCAGCAACCCCTGCACACCCAAAAGTTTCAAACCCTCTTCCTGTAACTCCCCAAGTTCTTTTCTCTGCACGTCCCTCCCTTCTCATCTTAGTCTCTCTCCCACCTGCCTTCTCTACTTAGTGGCCTTTTCTCCCGGAGTGCCTAGGCTACCTCTGAATCTTGGTCTTTTACAAACCTTGGGCACAGCAGCCTGGCAGATGAAGTGGGTGACATCACCCTCTGAGATGTTGGTAGCGGTGACAGTGATTAAGAGCAAAGCAGGAGTTCCAGGGGGTCGAGCAAAAGACAGAATCAGCTGTAGTCCTTCACGCTCAAACACTTTGAGATTTGGGATGGGAGCTAGGGTAGGGAGAGAAGCAGCTCACTATATGGGCAGAAGATAATGAGTGCATTCATTCGTTCATTCACTCATTCAACAAAAATTAAGTGCGTACCCATTAGGTGCAGAGCACTGCCTGAGACGCTAGTGACAAAGTGGACAAGAAGATGAGGCCCCTGTTGGAGCTTACGGTCTAGTGGGGGGAATGAATCAATAAACAGGAAAAGCAAGATAATCAGAGACTGTAATTGGTGCTAGAAGGAAATAAACGAAGCCAGAATAACAGGGAGGAACTAACTAAGATAGGAGTCTTAGGGGAAGCATCTGACATTTTAGCTAAGGCCTGAAGAGGGAGAATAAGCCAGTCACTTGATGTGCTGGGGGAAGAATATTCCAGGTAAAAAGACGATGAATTGCCAAGGGCTTGAGTTGAGGGTTTGAGAAGCTGTGAGGGCGCCAGCGAAGTGGGTAGTAGGAAAGTATATGCGATGGGCTAAGGAGGAAGCAGGGCCCGCAGGCGAGGATAAGACATCTGGAACAAAGGGAAGAACATTGAAGGGTATCCGGGAGGGGAATTCATGATCTAATGAACCCTTTTACCTACTAAGATGGGGATGTGATTGGGGGCAGACAGCAGAGAAGAGGGCACCTGAACCTCAGTCCTTGGCTAAGAAGGAGAAGGAACGCATTTCTACCCTCCCTTCTCTAAGACATCTCCCTTATGCTGAGGCTTACCTGCGGCTGAGGGAGCACAGGGGAGGTCAAGCAGGTGTATTAAAGTGCCTTCTGGGGAGGGATCCGGAGGGGGACGCTGCTGGACATGCCCAGAAGGGCTATCTAGGAGATCTAACAGATCCAAGAGCTTTGAGGCCTGGAGGAGAGGGCAGAAAGGCCAAGGCTGGATATAGAAGCCTGACCAACTCCTCTTCCCCCTGGGGCTTCTAGCCTCCTCACCTGGGGCTCTGTGGGGACAGGGGCTGCTTCCAAAAGCCGGGTTACTTCTTTGCTTTCCTTTGCTTCTTCTTCAAACTGAGAGACACCTCGCTCTACAAGAGGCATCTTTTCCAGGACGGCAGCCCTGAGAGGATGGAATGCAGGTGTGGCCCTCTGGGTGGACCTGGGGCTTTTTACAAGAGGTGTGTGGGAGGAGGGGTAAGAACACAGAGGGCCCTGGGCATACAGTGGGTTGGAAGTGCAACTCTGATTTCCTAAAATGGCACACTGTTGCTGGTTTTCAGATGAGTAAGGAGGGTTGGAAGCTATCTTAGCGTCAATGAACTGTGGGTAGGAGGCTCTGACTATAGTTGAGGAGGACACAAGTGAGGCTGAGACCCTTGTACCCAATGGGAGAAGACATCTGGGGAGAGGGCAGGAGTCTGGGTCTATGCTGTGGCACAGTGCTGATCGCACCTCATGTGGTCGTACTTCCGGAAGAGTGTGTTGTACTCCACAGCCCGCTGCTGCAGCTCCACGTCCAAGCAGCTCCCGTAGATGGACACCACCTGGCGGATGCGGCTGGGCCACAGGGTGGGGGGTGAGTAGAAAGAGCAATCTGCCCTGCCCTTCAACTCCAGGATGTGGCAGGGAGGGGAGAGGCCCCACGGAGCAGGGAGACAGACACTTGGCTCAAAAGGAAGAACCTAAGGATTGGGAGGGGTTGGGGTGTGTGCCTGGGGGGACTCAGAAATTGAAGGGACCTCTCACTGAAGGCACTGAGAAAAGGGTCTCTGGGAGGGGCTGGGGCCACTTTTTACTTGTTGTCCCCACGGAGCCGGGTGCTGAGCTTCATGAGGGCTGTGAGGGCGTATCCTCGGGTGGCCGGCAGGGACATATGGGACTGTAGCACCCTTTCCAATAACGCCAACACCTCTTCTTCCTCCACCTTTGGAGAGGAGAACAGGCAGGGATCCTGGGGTCAGCCCTGCCTCTCCTGACAAGTCCCTCCTCAGTGGACCCTCAATGCAGGTCTCACCTGAAAGGGCTCAGTTTCCTCGCAGCTCCCTTCTAGCAGAAGGTCCCCATATTCCCCGATGCACCAGGCTGCCACTTGCACCAGCGGTTGCTGTGTGGGATGACAAACATGCTGGGCCAGTGTATGGGTGCCCCGCTTCACTTCTACACCCTGTGACGTCCCTTTAGGCAATGCACAGATGGTGGGTTTTGAGGGTTGGGGAAAGAGAAGGGCCTTGGCACAGGGAGCAATTCTGTTCGAGTTTGTTCCCAGGCTCTATCCTGGCTTCCAGGCTTTCTCTGCCATCTGGTGGCCAAGCATCAGAACTACATGGCCTGACCACAATGGGTGCAGTGAGGACAGAGAAGCGAGAGGGTCCCTCCCTTGAGAAGGAGTGGATGGCTTCCACTCACCCTACTTAAGTAATATGAAAAGGGAGCTATAGATGCTGGCTAGCATCAGTTAATTCACTCAGCATTCAGGTAACAATAAAACCTAATATATGCAGAAAGCTTTTATCTCATTTGATTCTTAAGACAGCTCCGGGAGGTGGGCAGGGTAGACAGTTGAGTGCGCTGGGCATAAAGACGGTTATATTAGTCATCTGTGGTTACACAACCAGTAGGTACCAGAGCCAGGACAGAAGTTCAGGTGTTCTCACTAAAAATAGGGCTCTGTCCTTAAGTGTCTCCTCCACCAAGTATTGGGTTGTTGGAAAAGCCATGACATTTTTTTCTCTGTTTTTCGTTGCAAAAATGCATCATGACTTTTCCGACAACCCAATAGATAGTTATATCCTCAAGGGAAAAACAGTTGGGAACCAGGTATAAGGAGTAGGTGGCCCAGGAAGGGTTGGGAGGGTTGGACAGCCCTGAGCCTGGGTGGTGGGAACATTACCTGGGAGATGTCCTGTGCCAAGGCACTGTAGAGGCGGCGTACAGAGTAAGCATGTAGCTCCTGGGCTCCACCAATCAGCTGGGTCAGGTTGGCCACGGCATCATCCCGCACATGGGAGCCTGCCTGGAGTGGTAAACGTGGCCAAGTCAGTGCAGTGAGCCCTGTCCACTCCTGCCCAGCTCTCAGACCAGCCCCTGCCTCACCGTTGTCAGCACACGCAGGATGGTGTCTATGTGCCACCGCTTGGTTGGGGCAAACCTAGGGGACATATGGCTCTTCAGTCGTGGCACTGACCCTCCCCAGATTCTACCCTTTCTGCCTCCTGGGTACCTGCCACCTCACCTCTCTGCTGCCAGCAGGATGCCTGAGGCACAGTCAGCCCGTAGGTCATGGGGACAGGACTCGAGAAAGCCCTGAAGCTCTTGTGTCATGGCTCGCACGTTGGAGCTGTTCACTAGAGCCAGGCTCAGTTCCAGGGCCCGCCTGGCAGGAGAAAAACGTATCTCTGTATGAGGTGGTCCAGGCCCTCCCCTTCTCCAGGTACCTGTCTCCTAGTCCCCTTATTCCAGCTGCTCTGAGCTGGTTCAGGTCTTGGCCACCAAGTGGTGGGCCTTCTGTCCTGCTCACCGGCTGAGGGAGGCGTCAGGTTCCCGCAGACATTCCACCACGGTGGGCCGGTGCCGCTGCACAGCACTGTGATCAGACTGCACCAGCCGCAGCAATGACGTCAGGGCTACGTACCTGGACAGAGTGGGAGAGGACCTATCACATCATGGCCATCAGCCCCCTCTCCGCAACATTTTTCTCTGGATACAACGATAAGAGTGAATTGGGAGACTCTGGGAAGAGGGCAAGGGGCTCAGTAGCACAACCCAGCCAGACACCTGGGACTTTTACCTAATATTCTTGTCACTGTTGAGCAGGAAGCGGCCAAGAATGTTGACAGCTAGAACCTATGGGAGGCAGAGGTGGGGGACAGTCACGGAAGGAGCAATCTGCTCATTCAGGAGTGGGGGCTGCCTGCCACAGGACCTGTCTTCCGGCTGGGGTAGTGGGTGGGGCCACAGTGGGAGAGGCATATGGGAGGATACCCGCAGGCCAGCTGCAGAGCGGATGTCCATGATGGTGAGCACAGTCTCAAACAGGACCGCACTGCCCGCGTTTCGGCTGGTGTCTGTGTTAGTGGCCACCTGAGTGGATGGGCGAGAAGATGCATGTGTAAGGGGCTCTGTCCCCTTCTCAGGTTTCTGGAAGGTTTCCACCATGCCATTTAATCCTCAACCATCTAACAAAGTTCCCTGGGCCCCCACTATGTGCCAAGGGCTACCACACTGAGACAGACTGTGTCCCTGTCCTCATGGAGATCACAGTCTGGAAGGAAATGGAGAAAGAGACAATTTTACGGCCACCACATGGTGAGTGGTCATATGAGGGGATGCCTAGGGCTGGTGAGATCACTGAGCAACATACCTAACCAGCACCCCTCCCAGCCCCCGACCTGGGCCAGCAAGTCATTCATGCTCTCACTGCTCTCCTCGTGGTTCCGGCCCAGAATCCGAAGCAGACGAAGTAGCTGGACCTGAGGGTGGGTTAAAGGTTGAGAAATGGAGGGGTTCTTGGGGTTAGAAGTCGGGCTGAGGAGAAAAATCTGAATTGAGGAGAGCATTGGAAGAGGTCTGGCTGGTTCCCTAGAGCCTCCTTACCTCTCTCTTGACTCCCCTCCACAGGACCTTTAGGTCCTGGGAGGGGATCAGAGGTATGTGAGGCTAGGGGACTTGGGGACAGGTGTTTTTTTACTGTTACCAAACTGGATTTTCTGACCTTCAAGCATCCCTTTCCTGCACTGGTCCTGGGAATCGTCCTGTGCCTGCCACCCTGGCCACGGCACTGATTGAGCCAAACTGTTCTCTGGGAGGTGACCACTGGCCATAGTCTTACTGTCAAGCTCTTTGTTCCAGGGATACAGCAGGGAAGGGTCAGCCCACCTGTAGGAAGGGGTCGCTGACTCCAGATATGCTGTGTTCTGTGGAGTATCCCGTCGTCACCAGGGTCCGGAGGATCTGCACCAGCTGGGGCACCACCTGGAGGGAGGGCACAGCCTTATCTGGGCATTCTTTCTGATCTTCTCAACTTGCAGCCCCATTCCAACCCCACTGCCCCTGTTTTCCTGGCCCAGGGTCTGTCGCTTTACCAGCCCACCTTTTGAAAGTGCTTGAGGGCTGCAGGGCTTCGTTCGCAGAGCTCCATGATCAGCGTGATGGTGCCCAGCAGGACGCCTGGGGTCAGGGCAGAGGAAGTGAATGCTGGGCACAAGAGTCTACTCTGTATGTGCACATACTATCCTTCTCGAATGAGCTGGGGTTCCTGTCCCATTTTCCACCACAGCTGAGGCAAGGGATGGGGAGCCCCATGGCCTTACCGTGGTGGCGTTCATGAAGCAGTTTGGCACAGGGTGGGAGGAAGATGTCGGAGAGCTCAGGGACCTTCCGGATCATGTGCACTGCAGTCAGAACAGCCTGCAGGGGTCAGGGGGCTCAGAGAGGGCAGGGGTCTTCCAGGATGGACTATCCCCCACCTCTGCCACCTGGGGTCAGTTTCTGTAGGGGCAAGTGCCTAGAGTCCTGCCATCTCACCTTCTTGCGCACATAGGGGCTGGGCTCCCGGAGCAGTTTCTCTACCTCAGTGGCCAGGTCCCGGCACATCTCAGCAGAGCCCATGGTGCTCAGAGTGCACAGGGCCAGGCCTTGTACTGCCTGCATCCCCTGGCTCAAGTCACTGCAGTTTTGGGAGGACGGTCAGTCAGGCCTCTGAGAAATCCAGTCCTTCCAGTACTTATAGCAGGCAGCCCCCCTGGGATTTCCCAGTTCCCCTCTCTCCCATCTCCCTGATTCCAAGTGCTTCCCAGAACCCTCTCACTTCTTGATGCTGTTGGTAATGAGCAGGTGGGCATCCTGCCTCTCATCCAGTAGAAGCATGGCCCCCAGGTAGCCCACCCTCTTGTCTGTGAACCTGGGGGATGCGATGAGTTTCAGGCACTCCATCTATAGGGAAGGGGGGCAGACCAGGAAGGGGCAAGGGTGAAACTAGAGGCACTAACATCCCTTTTCTATCTTCCTCCTTAACACCAGGTTGGGGGCACCCTCAAGTCCCATCACCCTCCCGTCAACCATAGGAGAGGCTTAGAAGATTCTGAGTTAGCGAGTAGTTTCAAGGAAACAGGAGTTGAGGAAGATGGGAGAGGAGAGGAGGTGCCCTGAATGGGCCTGGCCAGAGAACAAAGGGTTCAGTCCAGCTGATGACCAATACGGGCTGTAATGGGGAGGAGGTCTGTGGTGCATATTGTGTGCTCCGAACTTTGTAGAATTTAAAAAATCGGGGCACAAATAGGTGTGCAGGTCCCAAACCCCGCCGCACTAGTCTTCTTAATCAAACTCCCGAAGGAAGGTGTCCCTGCCCAGTACCTGTCCAAAGTGGGCAGGGTAGCCCAACATGTGGACATAGAGCAGTTTGGCCAGCTGGCGGTGCCTATGCAGAGGGTCCCCATCACGGAAGGAGGCACGGATGTGGGCGCACTCTTTTTGGATCACTTCCCTCTCCTGGGCCTGGGTCTTGGCCCCACGAATCTCCTCGATTAGATCTTGAAGCTTCAGCGAAGGAATCACCATCCTGGGGGGCAGAGCCCGGGAATGGAGAGGGCTTTAACCCTCTCTGGCTCAGAGTGCCTGGCCTTTCTGTCCAGGCTTGCCCTGCGCCAGGATCCTGGAGGCTCGGGTGCCACAATTACCCTAAAACTGAGACCACATTCACCTTTCCCCACGTGGTTCTCCAAATTCCGTCCATTCCTCCCCGCCCCAGGAGATCCCACTACGCATGCGTTCTCACCCCACCCTGCACCCTTTCCAACTGAGCATGCGCCAGAGCCCCGCCTATTTGCCCCCCTCCGCCCCCACCTGGTTCCCCATCCTTAGCTAAGCCATTCCTTTCCCTCCAGGGCCCTGCACTATTTCTTCCGCGGGATTCCTCCCCACATTCGCATCTCAGGCGGCCCCAGGTTCCCCACACCAGGGCGCCAGCCTCACCTGGCTTCTGTTTCAACTCCGTTCCTGTCCCCCTGGCGTTTCCTGGTACAGGGCCCGGCCGGGGTTGGTGCTTGGTCTGGTCCTTCCCTCTCCCCGCCCCCATCACGGGACCCCGCCCCTCATGGGCTGCCCTGCTGAGCCGTCTTGAGTCCTCTGACCTCAGGCCTCAGGCTTTGGAGTTTAGGGGGAAGGACTCTTCTATAGGGACTGGGAGACTTTGTAACAGGCCTGAAGTTCCCCAAGAGGGCTCCTCGTACATTTTCACCACCCAGGGAGCCTCAGAGAGCTTGGGTTTGAAGCCATCGCACCCCAAAGGAGATGACAATCCCCCCCCTTTTTTGAACTTTTTTATTAATATATTTTTTTTTTGTTAAATTTCTTTGTATTTTTTTTTTCCTGCAAGACTTGGTGTTGGCGGCACTGTTGTAGTTGAACTTCAATCCCAAATTCCATGAAACAGAAATCAGAAGTAAAGGTTGAAAGGGGGGGAAGGAGGGAGGCAGGCCAAGGAGTAAACGGTTGGACTAGAAAAAAAGAGGGTGTGTGTGGCGGGCATTCCCAGGCAAGGCCATTCCTTGAGGAGGGGGAGGGGGTTGGCAGGCAGCTTGCCTCTGCCTCATGCAGGGGAGGGAGGGAAGGTCCCCTGGGGACCTTACAGTACCCTCTTCTTAGGGCTTCCTGCCCTCAGGGGAAAAGCTCGTACCAGAGATCAGCCACAACCTCCAACAGGGCTCTCCGCCCACCTCTCACCCAGGTTTGACGCCCACCTCTGCCCCGCCTGGAAAGTGTGTGATAGATTGGCTTCCTGTGATCCCCTCCTTCTGTTGCTTTCCCATGTCACAAGATTCTGATGTGATGTGGGAAGAGATATACCCCACTTAGAGACTACTAAGCTTGTCACAGCTTGTGCTGCCCTGTGAGTTCCTGTTACCTGGTCTGGTTCTATTTCTCTTCAGAACTGCCTCCACCCATACAACTGCCAGAGCTGGGGAGTGGGGTCCTTGCTCAAGTGCCTCTAAACCTCTGCAGTAGGAATGAATGTCTTCTTCAGGCCCCTTAGAAATTTAATCAAAGGCCACAAGTGAGTCCAGACCAACCAAATTTTTAGAGGAAGAAAGAGGGTGGTAGACTTGGCTGCATTGGGCTCTTTCCTTTACACATTGATCTGGACATGGCATGCCACCCGAGGGGGCTGGGTTGGACGAGGGGCTGGCTGTTGAGGAAAGAAAGTGGGAGATGCTAGGGAGTCACTCCACTTTCCATTTCCCTCCATACCCCCTTCAGGGAAGGATGGGGTTAGGCAAGAACCTAGCTCAGTGCTTGGAGGGGAGACAGGATCCTTCAAGGTCAGAGATGGTGGTTGTATCTCCTCCAGCTTTTTCACTTGGCCTTAGAGAGATACCAGGTCCCTGGGTTAGGGAGCCACAGCACCTCAGCCAGTGCCTTGCCTAGTATACAGTCATCCCTTCTCCATATTCTTCCTCCTTTCCACTCCGCTTCCAGGAGACTCCTCAAGACACCAACCCTCCACCCTCATCCAAGTTCAGGTCTAAAGAAAAGGCGGGGAGGGTGTGGGGCAATGGTCTGACTTAGATTTGTGTGTCTCAGAGAAGAGAGCAACTCTGAGCAAGAAAAGCCCTTCATATGTAAACAATCTAGAGAAAGAGAAGGGGTGGGGTGGAAGGGAGTGAGGAAGACAGAGACAGATCCAGAATAAATGAGAGAATCTGAAAGGAAAAGTGGGGAAAGAAAAAGCAAGAGACAAAAACAAAGGGAGACAGAAAAGAAAAAAGAGAAGAGGAAGATTAGAGAAAAAACAGTCAGGAGGAGAAAAAGAGAAAAAGGCAGGTAAAAGGAGTGAAGAGGCAGCACCCGAAGCCAGAACTAGGTCAGGCAGGAGCCTCAGGTGAGGAGCTGGGAGAACAGGAACGCCAGGCTGAGGTCCAGGAGGGCCACGGCTCCCACCACCAGGGGATTGGCAGCTCCCTAGAGAGACAGGGGGAAATGCAGTCTCAGTCCCTGACGACCAGGCCAAGGACCACCTTCCTGCCCTGGCTGAGGTGGCAAAGCTGAAGGGTCCTAGGCACCTCTCCTCAAAGGCCAGAGCAGGGGCATCTCCAACCTTTGTTCTGGATTGCAAAACACCCCTCTTCTCCCAGTCAGGGCCCCACCTTCCCTCTGGCTCCCTCAAGTCAGAAACAGCCCTTCCTCCTTCTTCCCTCCACTCCCCTCCCACCAGTGTGTCACATGGCCCAGGCAGCCGCCTGGCCTTAGCATACATTGGCAGCAGCAGCCGGTACTGCAGTAAAGCAGAGAGGGATGAAGGGGTGAGGATGTGGTTGCTAGGAAACAGAAGAAGGCCTGGAGTCCAATCAGAGTGGAGAGTTCTGGAGACACTCCACCCTTCCTGGTTTTCTGCTTTCTTTCCTATTTCCCTTCTTCCCAGGAGAGGGAGGGAGAGTCAGGGTGGGGAGGGAACAAGCTTTTCCTTTTTTATTTCTGGGCACCAAAGAGAGAAAGTGTGGAGGTGGGGGCAGGGGTGGAGAAGGAAACCGGGAGCTGGAAATGATATGGAAGGAGAACAGGGAAAGATGTTCTGGCTCTACCGTTAATTATTTGTTTGTAACCTTGGGAAAGTTACTTTCAGTGCTCTGGGCCTCATTTACCCCTTCTGTCAAACGAGGGAATTGGACATGGAGGTCTCTAAGGTTTCTTCCAGATCTCAAGTTTTAAAAATTTTTTGAGGTGGGTTATGATCTGAGACTGGGCAGGCAGAGAGAAAGCTGAATCCAAAACAAAGTCTTTCAGGGGGATCAGAGTGAGGTCTGAAAAGGGTGAGAAGCAAGGCTTTCTGGAGAAGGGGGGCCAGAAAGGAGCTGATACTCAGAGGGCACAAAGCGGGATGGAGTGTGTCTGTCTCACCGGCTGGGCAGGCCTCTCAGTTGCAGCTGGCTCATCAAGCTCTTCCATCAGGCACCCAGCTTCAGGACCCCTTGAGGATGGGCCCCTCAGGACTGGTGTGGCCATGGGATCAGGCTCCAAGGCCCCTGGGGTCCTCAGCCGGGGCAAGGGCTCTTCATCTTCCCCCTCCTCCTCTCGAAGACTTCCAGAACTGTCACTGCAGCCTCCAAGGAGTGGGGAACCGTCTCTGAGCCCTGGTCCCTGCATCCCAGCCTCATCCTCCGCCTCATAGCCAGCTAGTTCCTCTGCCTGCTCACCTGGGCCCCCCCACTCCTCAGGCCAAGCTTTGGGGCTGGAGAAGGGACCCTGGTCCCCTCCAGGAGGCAGTGGGCTCCGGCAGGCAGGGGGTCGCCAGGGTTGACGGGAAGAGGCAGGGCTGCTGGGCAGTTCAGGGGAGCCCTCTGAGGGAGTCAGTCCATTCTCGTACACCCCAGGGCTGTCCTCATCCAAGGGCTCTGTGTCGGAACCTTCTGAGTCCTGCCTGGGTCTGTGGCCTGGGACAGGGATAGCTAAGAATCAGAGGGGCCTAACTGGCCTTGTGTTGCAAAAGCTACAGCTTTATCCTCTGACTGGGTGCCTCCCAGAACAGGCTTACAGCCTCTTGGTGTAAGACCTCAACCCTTTGTCCTTATTACCCTATTTCATCAATTGCCAGTTCTACTCCCTACGCTCCCACCCTCCATCCCCTCAGACCCTCACACCCTGGCTTTCCCATCTCCAGTCCCCTGTGGAAATTCCCTTCCCCTTTCCCCTCCAGCTCCCCAGGGGACCCACCCCTCACCCCTGGCTGCCCATGCCTCACCTGGGGCCTCTAACATGGGCTGCAGGTCCTGGGCTATCAGCTTGGCCATTCGAGCAGCCTCCACAGCCTTCTCAGCAACACTGCTGGCTGCCACTGCCTTTAAAAGGGCGTCTGCTGCCCTGTTGGGTACCAGGGACAGGGATTTAACAGGCCTGCTCAGATGCTCCAGCCCCCTGGCCCGTGTCCTCACTACATCACATCCTCCAGATCAGAGCCCAGGCCTTGCTCACACTTTGCCAGCTACTCCCCTTCCCTGGTCAGGCAGGGCAGCTGGCCTTTGGTTTCCCCTTCTAGACCTGGGCTGGGCCTGCTGTCATTACACCCTACTGCTCCTCTCACACCCTTCCACCATTAGGTCCTGTAGTAACACTTCACTTCTTCAAGCTGCAGGGCCAGGCCCTCCCTCCCTGCCCTCAGCTCTGTTATTCCTGGAGCAGGACATATTCCTGTTATGTCCTGCTCCCCTCCCAGTGACAACTGAGACCTCACTCGCTTAGCACATCCCTCTGCAGTCGCACCTGCTTGGTGCTTACAAGCTATGCCTTCCCGCCCTCTTGGCTGCCAATACTTCATGTTATTACCATCTCCTCTCATACTTCTGGGGTCGCATAGCTCTCTGTGGGGTCCAGGGTGGTTTTCTGTAACCTCAGTTCTGCCCCTCTTCACCCCACCCCCACACCCTTCCTGTGCGCCGTCCTCTCCCTTCCCCTCACTGCTGCTAGCCCTTATTATTGCATTTGCCTCTCCCTGCAGATTTCCTGACATGAGAATTTCACATCTTGCTTTTCCTCAGCCTTTTTTGTCATCACATTGTTCTCCCCTCTTCCTCACTGCCACTGCCCCCCGCACTACCTCATCCTTTCTGAGCTCTGCAACTGGAGTAAAGGTGGGTTCCCCTTTCTGCTATTATCTATTCCATCTCCCTGACAACATGAATGCTTTCACATCACTGTGATTATACCTTCTGGGTTAGCTCCTAGTCTCCCTTCCACAACCCCCCCTTGCATCCTGCCCTGCTCCTTAGGTACAGGTAACCTTGAAGCATCATCAGTCCTTTCCCTACTGTTGTTTCCCAGTTCTCCCTCTGATGTCAGACACTTTCTCAATTTTCCCTTCCCTTTCACCCTCTGTTGTTAATGGTAGATGCCTTGTAATCATTAAATTAGGTCTGTAATCCTCACTGATATCCTTGCCGTGGGCTTGAATGGATCAAGACCCATGACTCCCTCTGGACCTAGATCTATTTAATCTGGCCTAGGAAGGCAGTCTGAGTATGGGGGAGGGGAGAGAAGTGGTGATGTCCACTGCAGACTTAGATCCACCTTCTCTACATCTACCTTGGAAGATATGGTCAGCCTCCTCGCCTCAAACCTGGTGGGTCAAGGACCTTTACAGCCTGCTTGGAGGGAATCTCAGATAATACTATTCTTCCATTTTAGGGCTTTCAGACCCTATATGACTAGCCCTGTCCTGAAACTGAGCTGGTCTTAGGGTTTAGGGCAGGGGATGAGAATCACAACCTTGGGTTACACTGAGCTCTACTGGTGGCCAAGAAACTGCAACACTGACAAGGGCCTGTGTTTTTGAGTGGGAGGGTACGGATGATCAAATCCTAAGCAGTAGACCCAGTCTGTGCTAAGGCATCTGGCCAGGCTCAGGCTACCTGGCAGAGACACCTGCTGCTGAGGCTCTGCTTGTTTCCATGGAAGCTGGCAGCCAATCAGGTTTGCCAGGCCTGTTGCTGGGGAGACCAACCAGCCTCCTCCCACTGCCTGATCCTCTAGTTACTGAGATCAAGTTTTTCCTGCACATGCCCACTCCCCATCTAGCCTAAAGTGCTTCTTGGTGCACTGCCCTCCCCCTTTCCTGGCTTAAGGCCCTGGACTCTAACCACCCAGATGCTCAGATATGACTACAGATAGACATTCTCTGGCTGAGGCATCTGCTCTGGATATGATATGTTCACACACACACACACACACACACACGCACGCACGCACTCACACACACTCATGAAGCATATTTGGACATATCTTGACCTCTGGTCTTCTGAAACAGTCCCCAAATTAAACAAAATCCTTCAACTGTGGCCTCCCCTTTGAAGAAAATCCAACATCTAAAAATTCATATGTGTGAATGGCATAAATTGGGGGCCTGTGAACCTCATTACAAATGGATTTTTGGCTTTCTTTAGATCTGGGCTATCCCAACAGCCACAAGCCATATGTAGCTTTAAGCATTTAAAATGTATCTAGTCTGAATTGAAATGATGTGTTGTGAGTATAAAATATATACTAGATTTCAAAGACTTAGTAAAAAAAAAGGAATATAAATATCTCACTTGCAATTTTATATTGACTGTAGGTAGGTTGAAATGATAATATTTTGGATATATTGGTTTAAATAAAATATATTATTTAAATTCATTTCATCTGTTTTTATTTTTTTCATATGGCTACTAGAAGATTTAAAATTAGGTACTTGGTTTACATTTAATTCCTACTGGACAGTGCTGCTTTAGATAACAAGGTTCCTGATGCATGGAAATGTAATCTGATTTACAGAAAAAATATTTCATTTACAGGCAAGCCTCCTCCCCTCAAACCTTTATCAGTGGATAAAGAAAGGCAGAGGCGCCGAGGCTGAGAGGGACTATCTTTTTAGGTGGATAGGTCAACTGTACAAACTAGACGCCCTCAAGGCACCAGGATGAAATGATATCAGATTAGGGGCAGGCTGGGATGTGGTTAGGAATGCATACTCCCTGTCTCCCTGCCCAGTGCTGTTGCTCCTGGCCTGAGGCTGGATCAGCTGCAAGAAGAGGAAAACTAGAGAGTGTCTGAGTGCTAAGAGGTTTCTGGGCCTGCATAAAGCAGCACTCATTGCTACTCCCACACTCAATGACACATGTCCCCACAAAAGACACTGAGACACACAGTCTAACACGGCTTCCCTCAAATACCCAGCCACCCACAGTTACACCTATATCCACCTGTAGCCTCAGATATAAACAACCCAAACACTCAGGGCTACAACTGCCTGGCTCTAGGCCTGCTCTTCCCCACAAGGCCCTAGGCCTTGGGTCTTGGTCCTCCTTTAGGCACCAACCCCTTTCCCTGTTCCCAGGGTACCTTTTCCCAGTGGCCCAGCTTTAGCCTCTGCACCTGATGCCCACCTGGCAGCAGCGATCTCCTGGCGCTGGCGGGCAGCACTCACTGCTCGACGGGCGCCCTCGACAGCCCTGTCCACCTTTTCCTTGACTTTGCCCCGCCGAAGGGCCAGAGGCAGTAGGCTGCGCACGCGCCCTCCGTGCACCAGCCGGTTGCGCTTGTACTTGCCCTCCTCGCGGGAGCCGTCGGGGCGGGTGGTGCGCCCGTAGCCGTGCCGCCGGTTGCCCAGCCACTCGCCCTCATAGCGCAGCCCGTTTGAGCGCTGGCTCACGCCGTAGCCGCTGCGCCGGTCCGCGCGCCATTCGCCCGCATACACCTCAGTGGCGGAGCCCTCGATGAGGGCGGGCGGCGCTGGGGCCGGGGGCCCGCTGGCCTCGGAGCCCAGGGGTCCTGTGCTGCCCACCTCGCTGCTCACCTCGCTGCGCAGGGAGCCCCGCTTGCTGCCCAAGGAGCTGCGGCGCCCGCCTGCCCGGAGCCCGCTGAGCAGCAGCGAGCGGCGGAAGAAGCCGCTGGCCGCGGGGGTGCGCTTGCGGGAGGACGCGCCGTCAGTGTCCCCGGGCCCGGCCAGCACGAATCCGCCCCGGGAGCCGGAGGCCGGGCTGCCTCCCTCGTCGCCTGGCAGGGGCAGGGGCGGGGGCGGCGTCGGGGGGTCGCTGTGGCCAGAGTCCAGAGAGGTGCGGCGGGGCGAGCGCAGCAGCGCCGCCTGATGGTAGGGCACGCTCTGGCGCACCCCGTAGCCGTGGCGCTTCCCCGCCTGCCACTGACCCTGGTAGGTGCCTGCGGTGGGGGTAGGAGTGGGAGAAAGAGTCAGGACCTGCTCCTTGCACCCCAGGCCCCAAGCGCCCCTTGAAGCCTTAGTGTGGAAATTGGGGAAGGGCACTAGGAGCTGCGGACAGGCCAGGTTAGGTCGGAAGGTGTGGAAGAGTGGAGTGAAGACAGACAAGTAGCAAGAGACCCCTGGATTTTGGCAGTGCAGGTAGACAAGGGAAAGAGGGAGGGACAGACAGGCTGAGGTGTGTGAAGGACAGACAGTCCAGAGGGTGTGAGGGACAGGCTGACAGGGTGTGTAGGATAGCCATGTGACTAGCAAACAGGACTGGGGGGGAGGGGCATGCCAAAAGAAGGAATGTGAGGGGATAGGCAGAGCAGAGGGGTTAGGGATACGCAGGTGGAGAGGGGAGGTGTGTGGGACCAGCCCAGAAGAGGGGTGTAAGGGACAGGCAGACGGATGTGTGAGAGCCGGGTAGATGGGGAAGAGGGTGGGGGGCGGTGAGGGACAGGCAGACAGGGAAGGGCAGGCAGATTCGGGAAAGCGAAAGCAGGCAGGGGGCAGACAAATGAAGAAGGCATGTGTGATGGTGGGAGGAGAAGGCAGAAAGATGGGCACAGAGGTGGATGTTGATGGGAAAACAACGGGGCATGGGGTGTG